GGTATTATCTGCAAGTGTGGGTGTTCTTATGCATATGCCCTCTCTTCTTATTGGCTGGACGCTTTACTCTCCACTCTAGTCCTCTGTGGCTATGTCACTGACTCGGGGCCCAAGAGTCCCCATGTCTTGCCACACTGCTGGCCAACCAGGTCTTCACCCGGGTTCACAGAAGTCTATTGAACATTGTAGGCCTTAGCTCGCCACTTCATCATACAGATGATTTTAAAGCCCTGCTTCATCCATGTAGGTGTAGCCTTTGCCCAATCAGGTGCATTTGCCCCATGAATAACCTGAAAACTCTACACAGCAAATTAAACAACATTGGTTACTGAGTCTGATGAGGGAGGAGAATGTTATTTAGCTTTTGAGATTTTCCTGAAAATAAACCACTGTCTAATTGAAGGGTTGACTTGAGTTGCAGTCTGTGTGAACTATGAATCATTCCTCACAGGTATTAGTCACGGTACCACTAGCCTTACTCCAGAAAGGTGCCATCCAGTTTAATCCACCATTGTCGGAAAAGAAGATGAAGGCCATCAACAGTTTAGGTGCAGGAATCATCGAAAAGGTAACTTCAGTGTCTTTGGTCTCCAAATTAAAGAGAGATTAATGTCAGATAATGAGAGCTTCTTTAACTTCTTGTGGTTGGAAGTAGTGGGTAATTTATGAGTCCAAATAAAGCTCAAAGATTTCCTTTTCATTGGAGTAACTGTTCATGAAGAATAGTTATTTTTCTTTTATTTTTATTTTCAGAATAAAAGGAGAGCTGACTGAGGTCTGTGAGTTTTCGCTCTAAGAGAGCGAATCTTACTATTTAAAATTTGGATTTGGTATAAGTTCTTCTTCTGTTTTTTTGCTTTCTATGCCTGCACACGTTGGCCACCATGAGGACGGTGTTTTACTTCCTGTGCCTTTGCCATCACCTTTAACAGAATCTGCTAGTGCTGCACCAGATAGGACAAGCTTATAAGTAGTAGGAATTTTATTTTACAAAAAGATGTCTCGGGCATGCTTATGTCTTCATTAGTTAATATAAGTCGTAGTTGGGTCCTACTTTATCCATGGGAGTGTGAGACTCACAAACAACAGAGGTGAGAATAGAAAGGCATTATTTTGGGTTCTTCTTTTGAATATGGTTGATTGGATTTTGAGTAGAGCGCTCTAGCTTGCTGTTTAGAAATTGCCTGTGCTTTTGATCTAAGAAACACTTACCCGTCTTTCTCTTCTCCCTTTCCAGATTGCCTTGCAATTTCCTTACAGATTTTGGGACAATAAAGTTCAAGGGGCTGACTTTTTTGGTCATGTTCCTCCTAGTGCCAGCAAACGAGGGCTTTTTGCTGTGTTCTATGACATGGATCCCCAGGTAAGATCGTTGTTACAGTGTGGTTTGAATGACATTGTTAACACTGTGGAATTTGGTTTTGGAATTATGTGTCAGGCTTAAGAACTAGTGAATATGATGGAAACTCTCATCTATATTTGTTTTCTGGGAGGTGTTTGAAGAGGAAGACTTTCCCTATAGGAGCAGGAACCTAATAGTTTATATTGTGTGTATAATACATAAACTTTTTATTGTGAATTGGGTGAAGGGTTATAGAGCAGTTCAGCTTTTCATTCAGTAATTCTTACAGATTTCGTTTCATGTTACTGATTTCAGTCTTAACAATGGATTATCATTTATCCCACTTCCTCCCTGTGTTTCTCCTCCTTTCCTAACCCTTCAATAATTGCTACCCTTTTGATCTCATACAGTTGATTATTCTAAGGTGTGTGTGCCTTGCTAGAGGTGTTGCCCACCTTATTGAATTGTTTATAGTGTGGCTGAAAATTGAGCCATGGAGGTGAGTTCATTTCCAGACGTGAGCGGTGACTAAGGACTGTAGTCTCAAGGGCTCCACCAGTTGTTTCATAGATTCCTGAAGCACTAATGTTGCTCCTTTGGAAATGAACTAGATATTGTGGAAACTTATTTCAGACTGATAGGGGACGATTTAGCAGCAGCATTAATAAATGAATGGTACATGAAATACACTCTCTGAAGGGCCTCCAGCGAGCTATGGGTTGAAGAAATAGGGTCTAGTTGAGGGAGGGCTGTGTGTCTATAGAAGTGAGAGGTGGAGGAGGGTAGAGGAAAGCCATATTCAAGACTCAGAAAGCTGTTTGTAACTTGGCTGCTGGTAGTGTTGATTCCGTGTAGATGAATCCCATCAGATTTACTATTTCCTTCTGTCTCTCATTTCCAGGAAACTTTGTCCCACAAGTTTCCATGTGGAAAAGCAAAGGCAGAATTTCTTTGGTGTTTAAGTAAAAAAATATACGTATATATTTTTTAATTCTGATTTGTTTTTTGTTTTTTAAATAATGATTTAATAATATTTTTGGTGAAAGTTGACACAGGAAGTTAGGTCCCCACTTAACAGTCACTTCAGAAATTGTCCAGAGATAATGGCTAAATGTGTTTTACAATGTGTTCATTATTCCCATTCCTTTCTAGGTGTTTTGCTTTTGATAATCTGGTGTTTCCATGGCGCTTTTTCCTTCCATCTTTGCTTTAGAGTAACTGTTGATCATTTGTTCTCTTATAGATGATTTTCTTAAAGGTGTGCAATATTCACTGGCAGTATTCTTTATTTTGTGAGCCAACCTGTCATTTAGTGAAAAGGTGCCCTCGAGGTAGTTTCAGTTCAAGGTTTATGAAGTATCTCAGGGAAGTAACCCTCAGTTTTAACTGGTCCAGTAAGTCTGGTGTTTTAAGAATTGGAGTTCTGGTCCACATTCTTGTCCCGTTTTCTCAGGATCCCACCTATTGGTCAGAATGGTCTTTAGTTTTGAGTCATTGTTTTTCTCTCACTTTGTCTGTCCTTCCTGCCTCTTTCTACTTCTTCTAAAGCAAATGCCCATAAGTGAAAAGCTGAGGGGGGAACCCTTCCTTGGATATTCACAATACTTGTTGAGTTTTGTCAGAACGGAACAAGGAAACACATAGATGATTCATGAGTGAGTGTAAGGAAAATGTTCTGGGGAGAGAAGAGAGGATCAAGGACAGTAGAAAGCAGTGAAATTTAACTTGACAATGAGTTCTCTGCTGTGTTTTGAAAGCAGCAAGAGTAAGGTCCCCCTTCCATGTCTTTAGAAGACGCAGAGCGTGCTGATGTCGGTGATCGCTGGCGAGGCGGTAGCGTCTGTGAAAAGCCTGGAGGACAAGCAGATCGTACAGCAGTGCATGTCTACCCTCCGGGAGCTGTTCAAGGAGCAGGTCAGGCGGGGGTGAACATTGGGCACACGTGTGTAAAGGTAACGTGATGTGATGTGACCATCACAGAAGGGAAACCAGCATGATTGAAGATAAAAGGAATCAAGGCAATGTGTCACGTTATTCCTTCACTTCTGGAGTCCCTGCCGGATAACCAGGCAGGTGAAGGTACACGTCCACCCAGTGGTGCCTTAGCAGAAAGGCTGTCAATCTGCTTCCCCAAAATCAACCATTGAAAACCACGTGGAGCACAGTTCTGCTTTTCTGCTCTGGAACGTGAGGTCACCATGAGTCTTGGTAGACTCAGCAGTAGCAGTGACTGAGTCTTAACAATATCTCACTTGACAACTGCGTGCTCCTGACCTCCCTTCACACCATTGACTTCCTCTGCTGCTTCTCACTTCATGCACTCTGTTTCCTAAGGATGTGAAAGGCTCAGCATTTTAAAGATTTTTTCTGAGCTCTAGAAAGCTCTGACGATAGCTTTCTTTCTCATTAATTGTGTTAAGAAATACAGATACACAACAAGTGTTAGAAAAATGAGGGGTAATTAGGGGTGGTGGTTGAGGAGTATGATGCGTGTAATTGTCATGCCATGCAGTCGTGTCCGACAGTCATGGAGATGTTGAAATGGCAAATGTTTTGTTACTATTTTATTTACCACCATTTAAAAAAAGGAAGCCAGTATGTTGTGAACTGCTGTGGAATCGGTTATGACTCACAATAGGGTTTCCAACAAGCATTTGGTGGGCTTGAACCACCAACCTTATGTGGTTAGCAGTACAGTGCCACACCAGGTCTCCGTATATATATGTGTGTGTGTGTCTGTGTGTCTATGACTAAACACATCATTTCAGCCTTCCTTATGTATACAATTCATTGGCTTCAGTCACACTCAACCATATTGTGCATCACTATTTCCAAATTTTTCATCACATTACACAAAGACCCATTTCTCCCTCTCGTTAATTAGTAACCAATATTAATAATAATAATAATAATCTGTTTTGGAAGAAGTGCAGCCAGAGTGCTCCTTGGAGGCCAAGATGGTTAGGCTTCGTCTCTCATACTTTGGACACATTGTCCGAAGAGAACAGTTGCTGGAGAAGGATGTCATGCTGGTTAAGGTGGAGGGTCAGAGAAAAAGAGGAAGACCCCCAACGAGATGGATCAGCCAGGTGGCATCATTGATGGCGTCAAGTGTGGCGGCGGTAGTGAGGTTGGCCCAGGATCGGACATTGTTTTGTTCTGCTGTGCATGGGGTCGCTATGAGTCGGTTCTGACTCGATGTCACCTGACAACAACAACAATAATAAGCTTTGTTGTTGTTAGGTGCCTTCGATTTGAATAATAAAGCTTTGGTCCTTATAAATTTGTCTGTTTCATATAAGTAGGATCATACAATATGTACCCTTTCATATCCTGCTAATGTCACTCAGATTCCTGGTGTGGCGCTGTGGGATCAGCACTGGACTATGAACCACAAGGTTGGCAGTTCAAATCCACCAGCTGCTCCTCGGAAACCCTGTATAGGATTGCTATAAGTTGGAATGGACTCAACAGCTCTTTACAACAACAGATGTCACTCAGCACATTTCAAGGCTCATACATGTCATAACATGGATCAGTATGTCTTTTCTTTTTGGCTGAGAAACATTCTACTGTGTATGTGTTTTGTCACTCCACTTATCTGTTGGTGAGCATTGGCATTGCCCCACCTTTTGGGTATTGTCAACAGTGATCCTTGGTGAATGGCTTTGTGTGTCTCTGCTTTCAGGTCTCTGGGGTATATACCCAGGAGTTGAACTGCTAGACCACAACTTTAAAAGGGATTCCACCCAGAACTTTCTTGTACCCCACATAGTGTAGGTGCTAGCTCTTGTCTTTTCCTCCATGGAGCATGATGCACTGTTTCTTTACCAGATGACTATGTCTCACAGTTTGGAAGCACATGTAGTGCCCGTGCCGTGTGGAGCAGAAGTAGCATACGTGCAGTCGCTTCACAGCCATGTATCAGAGGCAGCATGTAAGGTCTCAGCATCATTACATGTGACATGGTCTAACCAGTGACTCACTGTAGTTTGTCCTTTGGGATTTTTGTCAAAAAGTTTGTTTTTCAGTTAGTGGTTTGGAACTTTGCACACAGCTGCCATGAAAAATGTTATTCTTGGTGGCGCTTGTCAAAGTCCAGACTACAGAAAATTATTTTAAAGTTAGTGAGTTTGAAATGTATCCCTGTATAGCTGTTGTATGGAGAATCCAGTTGAGGATTTTTGACTTGCAAGTCTAAGGTTCTTAGCCCCTGGTGTGGTGGGCCTTGGTGGCTGAGGGAAGGGGTCTCTGGGTGAAGGATAAAGTGTAAGCCAGAAGTCCAGTACTGCCCAGTCGATCTCTTAGGCACGGTGACCTCAAGTGTATCGGAGTAGAACTGCACTCCACAGGGTTTTCAGTGGCTGAGTTTTGGTCACCAAGCCTTTCTTCCAAGGAGCCTCTGGGTGGATTTGAGTCTCCAACCTTTCAGTTATAGCAGCCAAACATTAACTGCTGGCACCTGCATGGACTCTGAGTAAACTGAGAATAAGAGTGTGTGTGGGTGGAGGGTAGAGAATTCACTACAGATATGAGGCCTGGGGAGAATTGAAAAGATGTTGGAGGAATGTGCTGAGAATTTCTGTTTTCATCTGCTACACGACTCAGCTCCATTTTCGGAAGGGAGAGAGAGATTGATGTTAATCATTGGGTGGCATGATTTGTAAGTCCTCTGTGGAGCCTGTCTTAGGATTCTTTTCTCTCTGCCATAGGAAGTCCCAGATCCCACGAAGTATTTTGTGACCCGGTGGAGCGCAGACCCGTGGATCCAGATGGCATACAGCTTTGTGAAGACGGGTGGCAGTGGTGAAGCCTACGACATCATCGCAGAAGAGATACAAGGGACCATCTTTTTTGCTGGCGAGGTATGTGTCTTGATTCCAAACCCACCATTTTAAAATGTTATGTTTAAAATTCTTGATGACATTAGCCCATGCAAACCTGCCTAAATGTTCTCTCTCTTCTGCTTTGTTCTTCTATTCCCTTCCATCTTGTGTATTGCCCCCAGCACCCAGCACCCAAACTATCCTGTGTCTATTCCCTACCCTGTGCTCCACCTTCCCCTCCCACCCCTCACCCCAATCCCGACACCCTGGTGACCAACAAGGAATTTTTGTTGTTGTTGTTCCCTTTTAGTGTGGGTACTTTTTCTTAAGCTTTTATAATATGGTCCTATGCAATATTTCTCATTTTGTGACTTAATTTCACTCAGCATAATGTCCTCAGGGTTCATCCATGTTTGCAGTGGCTTTGTAGCTTCCTTGTTACTCTTCAAGGTAGCATAATATTCCATTGTGTGTATGTACCATAGTTTGTTTATCCATTCTTCTGTTGATGGGCACGTAGGTTGTCTCCATCTTTTTGTTATTGTAAATAGTGCTGCTAGGAACATTGGTGTGCATAGATCTACTCATGTTATGGCTCATATTTCTTATGGAAAATACCAAGTAGAGGAATTGCTGGGGTCATAAGGTACTTCTGTTTCCAACCTTCTGAGGAACCACCATATTGCTTTCTGTTTTCTATCTCATTTATTTCTGCCCTAATCTTTTATTATTTCTTTTCTTTTGGTGCCTGTAGGTTCCCTCTGTTGGTCTGTTTCTAATTGTTGGAGATGCTGTGTTAATGTGTTAGTTTTGTTTCTTCTTTTTGGATGTGTGCATTTATTGCAATAAATTGTCTTCTCAGCACCGCTTTCACCATGTCCCAAAGATTCTGGTATGTGGTGTTTCCATTTTCATTTCTAGGAACTTTGTGAGTTCACGTTTAATTTCTTCTACTTCCCAGTCACTTTTCAGCAGGGTTATACAGTTTCCATGCATTCAACTTTATTTTCTTGGTCTTATTGTTGATTTCTAGTTCTGTGGCATTGTGGTCTGAAAAGATGCTTTGTAGTATTTTGATGTTTATAAACTTATGGGGGCTTGCTTTGTGACCTAACACGTGGTCTGTTCTGGAGAATGTTCCTTGTGCACTGGGAAAGCATGTGTATTGTGCTGTTGTGTTGAATGCTCTGTACACATCTTTGAGGTCAAGTTGGTTGATTGTGCTGTTTAGTTCCTCTGTATCTTTGTCGAGTTTCTGGTTGTTTTATCCCTTTTTGAAAGTGGCGTATTAAAATCCCCCATTATAATTACAGATTTGCCAGTTTCTTTCTTCAGTTCTAGTAGGGTTTGCTTTATATATATTGGTACTCTTCCATTGGGAGCATAGATATTTATTATGGTTATGTCATCTTGCTCTATTGACCCTTTAGTCATGAGATAGTGTCCTTCTTTAACTCTTATGCTGGTTTTTGCCTTAATGTTTATTTTATCAGAGATTAGTATTGCCACTCCTGTTTGTTTTTTATTGCAGTTATCTTGGTATATTTTTTTCCATCCTTTAACTTTTAGTCTCTTTTTATCTTTATGTGTAAAGTGTGTCGCTTGCAGGCAGCATATTGAAGGGTCTTGTTTTCTTATCCATTCTGCCACTCTCTGTCTCTTCACTGATGCATTTAATCCATTGACATTCAGTGTTTAATTATTGGTAGGTATGAATTAATGAGTCCTGGTGTAGCACTGTGGGTTAATACGCTAGGCTGCAAAGCCGTTTGAATTGCAGGGTTGGCAGTTCAAGCTCACCAGCTGCTCCCTGGAAACCCTATACAGGGTCGTTATGGGTTGGAATTGACTCGATGGAACTTCACAACAATAACAATGAATTAATTGCTATCATTATGTTAATTTTTCTGTAATGCTGTTTGTTCCTTTGTTCTGCATGCCTTCTTGTGCTGACTTCATGTTTTTTGTGCTGTTTCTTGTATGTTTTTTAATGTTTCCTTTTTCTGCTGGATCTTCATTTTCATGGTAAGTTATGAAGTATTAACTTTCTTTGTGGTTACCCTATAGTCTATTAACTTTTTCCTCCATTTATTACTGTCTATTGTATCCAGCAATCTCCCTGACCTCCTCACCACCTGAATCTCTGTTCCTATATTTTCCGCTTCTTTGACACTGTTAATATTTTGATCTTTGGCCTCTCAGGTCCTCTGAATTCATTGTTGTAATTTTGTTCTGTTCTGAACTCTTGTCTGTCAACTGCGTTCCAGGTGGTGTTGCCACGTCTGTCAATCTCTCGTAGTTATTTGTTCTTACTGGTTTTCATTCCAGAGACCTCCCTTTAGGATGTTTGGAAGCGTTGTATTGGCTTTGACAAAATCTCTTGGCATTTGTTTATACTGGAGTGTTTGGATTGCCCCATTGTATTTGATTGACAGTTTTGCTGGGTAGACAATTCTTGGTTGGCAGTTTTTTTTCTTTTAGGGTTTTATATATGTCTCCCCATTGCCTTCTTGCCTGCATGGTTTCTGCTGAGAAGTCAGAGCTTAATCTGATTTGCTCACCTTTGTAAGTAACACTTCTCTTTTTCCCTGGCTGCTTTTAGGATTCTCTCCTTGTCTTTGATTTTGGAGAGCTTGATTATTGTAAGTCTTGGTGATTTTTTTGGGAGGTTTGTCCTTCCTGGGGTTCATTCAGCTTCTTGAATGCTTTATCTTCTCATCCTTCAAGATTTTAGGGAAATTTTCTTCTAGAAGGTCCTCAACTATCTCCTCTGTGGACTTCTGTGATTCTTCCTGTTCCGGAATGTCAATAAATTCTTAAGTTACTCCTCTTCATGTTATCCAACATAAATCTCAGTGCTTTCTTCAGATTTTTTTAATCCATTTTTCTGCTTGCTCTTCTGTCTTAGCAGTATTGAGAGATTTGTCTTCCATCTTGCTGGTTCTGACGTCCATCTCTTCAGTTCTACTCCTTTGCCCTTTCAGTGTATTGTCCATTTCTGAGATTTTATTATTAATCATCTGGACCTCTTTTTGTAGGTTTTGAATTGTTTCTAATGCTATACCTATCTTGTTTGATTGTTCCTGTAGCACTTTCCTGACTTCTTCCTTATTTTCCTCCACCCATTTGTGGAGCATTTGGATTTGTCTCCATATCAGTCTTCTGAATTCCTTCTCAGGCAGATCCAAAGCCTGCTCTTCTTCTAATGGGAAGTCTAGGTCTGCCTCTAGCTTATTTGTCTCAGTTACTCTTTTATGTTTTTGGACATGTGCTGAGATATTTTGTTGTTTTTTTCTTGGGCATTTTCAATAGTTAGATGCATTTTCAGTGATTAAATGAATGTATGTTGTGTGGTTAAGCTTACTGAGTGTCTCCTGGTGGATGTGATCTGGAGATAGGCTTCCCTTTCACGTCTCTTATTATTCAGCTGCAAGCTATCTTACCAAATGGTGGCTCTCTGTGTAATGCCCAGCAGATGGTATTGGCTCCTGTCTAGATGGTGGGAATTTATGAGGTATGCGTGTAGTTTGGCTGTATGGCCAAGATTGCTGTCTCTGGTAACACAGGGAGAGAAAGCTCCTACTCGCAGGAAAAAAGTGAGACCAAAAGGACGAAAAACAGAAACAATATAAAAGCAGAGACAGAAACCACCATTCAAAAACAAAAAATTGTAACCAACTGTCAAGTCACCTTTCCTGCACAGATCAGTGTGCATGCGCAGTAGAAACTTCCAGCGGGTGGGTGGGGATGTACTTGCTCAGGCCCCTCATTTCGTCTCCACCGTGGAAGTGTGCAGATAGATACTGAGAAATGAATGGAAGAAAGATTGTCCACTATTTTTATCTCTGAAGGTCAGTTAGGTATCTGCATATGCACAGCGTAATTCTCAAAATAGCTGCATCCTTGTATATAGTAGATGGTGTTGACCCTTGCCTTCTATGTTGGTGTTTTACAGAGTGTAGATACAGTCTGGCTGTATGGCCAGACCTCCTGTCTCTTATTAGGTGTCATGGTGTACCGCTGTGGGTTAATGCGCCAGACTGTAAAACTTTGAATTGTAATGTCAGTGGTTCAAGCTTACCAGCTGCTCCGTGGAAACCCTATACAGGGTCGCTATGGGTCGGAATCGATTCAACGGCACTTAACAACAACTTTCTCTTATTAGATAAGGCAGGAATAAAGGGTTCCACTCAGGTCAACTTTAAGGCTGAGTCCCAGAGTCAGACGTCATAAGAAGTAGCCAAGGATTACATTGTGGGGCTGCTGGGGATCCCAGGGATTTCCTCCCAGTGCTGTGGGAAATCTGTGGGCACAACTGCTGGACCCTTTTGGGGTGTGCTCCCACCCGCCTGAAGGTGTCCTGTCTGGGCAGAGAGGGTGTGACGGGAGAGGAGGAAAGAAAAGTGAAAAATCCGTCATACCTCTTTCTTCCGTGGAATAGCCAGTAGTTTTGAAACTGCTGACCGTGAGATTAGCAGCCCTATTCATAACCACTATGCTACCAGAGCTCCTTAAACTAAGATTAAGGTTTCTATATTTTGTTCTTGTCAGGGCTTCACATTAGTTCAAACTGGTTCAGTGAGGACCACTGAAGCAAAACTGGAACAGACCCAAATGTTTACAATTTGGATGATCTGGAACACTTACTGGAACAGGAGAAATTATGGGTAAAGCCCTGAATGGGATGCTAGGAAGAGGCACTGTGAGGCCCTTCAGGAGCCCAATTCCACTGGGTTATTTCCAGCACTGTGGAGAGCAACCCACACTCAAAGTGCTGTCTGTCACTGTCTTCCAGCCAGGCACTGCTGTTTCCACCTCAGCTGGGTAAGGGATTTGGTGCAACATGACTGCTGCCCTTATTTCCTAAGAGGAGGATTATGTTTCTAGCTGGGCTCTGACCAGCAGTTTTTCCCATTCCAAGTGTTGTAGGGTGGTCATAACAAACAGTAAGACAGTTAACCCACTACCAGCAAGTTGATTTCAACTCACCTTTCTCTCAGAGCAGCTGGTGGGTTTGAACCAACAACCTTGTAGTGAGAGGTGAGTGCTTTAACACCCTCATTGTAAAAATACTGTTGCAGTATTGCTTTGATTCACCCGTGCTGAACCTGCTTTCTGCTTCCTCGCTAGGTCATTTCCTTTGAGTTTGTTTTGTCTCTCCCATAAATGTCCATATGTCCAATCCCTGACTTTCAGATTAAAGTGAAACTGATTTTTTTTTTTTTTTTTGTACCTCTCAGACATCTTTATTTCATTCCCATGAATCCATAGGGAACAAGCTCTAGCAGTTCACAGTCCCGTCCATTGGTTCTTACGAAGTGTGCCTGTTTCGGGGGAGCAGGCTGGTGTTTAGTTAACCCAGTTCCCTTTCTCTTTGGCTTCCTCCTTTTTCTGATCGTTTTCCTTCAGTCACTTCAGGGAGCTATCTCGGCTCTTAGAGTGCTCAATAGGGCTCATTATGCACATTAATTATATTGAGAAGAATCTTGTCCTTGTTTGTTCACAGTTGTGCCAGCAGCATACTGGGTCACATTGTATTCTCTTCTGTCAATGCCATGTTAACATGTGGGGCATCCTGTTTGAACTGTCCCCATTCCCTAGATGTCCACAATATCGCCTTTCTTGTAGATTCGCATATATGTGGCCAATGGAACTACCCATGTTTTATGAAAGGCCTGGAGAACAGAGAGCGTGTGCCCCACCTCTTACCCTTTGTGTTTGTCATCTTGGCAGATTACTGCAAAACGGCAGTTCTGGCCAAAAGGCGAAGTGTGAGGCATTTTTTAAAAGCCAGTTAAAACTGGCAAGCTTGTCAGGTGGTGGGTTCCCCTTTTTCATTGGAGGATCCCCAAATCTGGCTTTTGGGATGCCTTCCTGCCCATTATGAAGGCTTACATCCCTATTTTGTTGGGGTCTTCATTCCCAACTTCTTCCTCAAGTCTCTTGTCCAGTGGCTTGGTTGCAGTGGGTGGGAGTGGAGACTGGTGAGAGAGAAGCATCTTTCTAATCTTTAAGCCAGAAGTGTTTTCACACCAGACCAAACTGCTGCCTTTGTCAAATCATACACTGTATTTCAATTCCATCATACACTTCATTTCAACTCCGTGATTGCAGTCCTCTCAAAGTAACGTGACTTATCCCACCAGTCCTTGCTCAGGAGAAAGGTATGGCAGTCTGCTTCTGTGAAGTTTTACAACCTTGAGAACCACATGGAGCAGTTCTCCTGTTGCATCAGGTCACTGAGTCTGAATCAACTTAACAGCCACAGTTAACAGGCTTGCTCTTTGCTGTTACCATCCTATGTGCACCCTTCCACCCCCACAAGCACTTGGTAGAGTGGAGGAAAGTAAAATCTAATCAAGTTACCACTCTTGCACATACTTCCGTACTTTGCATTTTATAGCTCAGGCAGGTGGACACTGGTGGTTCAGGGTGGAATTCTCACATTCATGTGGGAGATCTCAGAGTTGTCTTGGCCAGTGTACCTCATGCACAGCCACATGCATCTGCCAGGGGAAGCTTGTATTCTGTCATCATGCAGAACAGGGTTTAGAGCTTCCAGATGAAGACTGATTAGGAAGAAAGACTTGGAGAGCTGCATTGGGAAAACCACCCAAGGAAAGCCTTAAGAGTTAGTGGTCCAGTTCACAACCCATCCTGGGAATGGTGCAAAACCGGCAGCATTTTGTTCTATTGTGGATGGGTCACTGAGTGTTGGTGGTCAACTCAATGGCAGCTAACAAATGCAACATAGTTTGGGATTACACGCCTCCTATGAGCCCTGGTGTGGTGCTGTAGGATTAACACTGGACTGCTGACCAGAAGGTCGGCATTTCAAGCCCATTAGCTGTTCTTGGAAGCTGTGTACAGGCTCGCTGAGTTAGAACCGACTCAACGGGCCACAGCAACAGGAGCTATGTAGGAGCAGGGTGTAGTGAATGCATGCCAGGCAAGAATTGTCTGCATCCAAGTAGTGACCACTTTAGGCTAAGGTGCCTTGGGGTCACAACCTTTATTTGCTTTCTTCTACCACTTTTGTACAATTATTACCCTCCTGTGAAAACTGCTTTCTCCATCCCATTAGTGATGGTACTACTGACATGTTATTCCCCTTTATCAAAGTCTTTACCACCTAGGTGTTTCCTTTTCACCCTAGCCACCAGTTTCATGCAAGCTGTTCACTTCATCTGGGACACTTCTCAGTTTCTGTTCTGACTCTACCCCAGCAACCCTTCCCCATAGCCACATCTGGGTCCTTCCCTCCAAGCCAATAGGCTCCACCTGTATGTTGAACTTCAGGTCTATGGTCTACCCTTTTTCAGTAACTTTTTTTAAGCTCTACCCATCTAATAAAACTTCATCCGTGGATAAATCGTGATTCACTTCTTGATGCTTGTTTCTCGTTAGTGGAACTGAGCCACAATCGTTGGTTCTAACTTGACAAGTACAACAAGACGTAGATACGTCATATTTCAGTGCAGGCCTCACAAGACTCCATAGGAGTGATGGGTGCGTTTGGCAAAGCATGGTGAAATAACCAGAAAAATTCAAGTGCTATGAGGGTTGGTTATGAAGAAATTAGTGAAAAAGGTAACAAAACAGTCGATACTGAGTTGACTCCTAATTCAGGGTGATCCCATGTGTGAGGTTCTGCATGCTGCATGGTGTTCTCAGTGGTTGTTTTTCCATAAGGAGATCACCAGACTTCCGGAGTGGACTCAAATCAACCTTTTGCTGTTAGCAGCTGCTTGCATTAACTATTTGCACCAGCCAGGGACTCCATCTTGGGTGAATTGTTGCTGAGTGCCATGGATTCCGTTCTGACTCATAGCGACCCTGTATAGGGTTTCTGAGGAACAGTTGGTGGTTTTGAATTACTGACTTTGTGATTAGCAGACCAGCGCTTATCCTACAGCACTACACCAGGACTCCATGATGAGTGAATTAAAGGGGTGTCAGGCATAGGCACCAACTTTTATTTTAGGAGGATGGGGGAAAGTGTAAATTTATAGTTGGAATTCTTTTTACATGATCTCCAAAAATGCTTTTTTTTTTTTTTTTTAAAACAGGCAACAAATAGACATTTTCCACAGACTGTTACAGGAGCGTATCTCAGTGGCGTCCGAGAAGCAAGCAAGATTGCAGCATTTTGATTCAGATGTGTCTGGATTCAGCCTCTTTCTGTCCCCCAACTAGGAACGTTTGAAACACATTTTACACATTTGAGAAGGGAAAGGAAGTCAAAACAGAAACCTTCTGGATATCAAAATTGAAATGTTTTAAGGTGATACAGTGGATTTCCATTTCAAGTCAGAGCAGGCACTAGCCCCAAGAACCCGTATAGCACTTACTACATTTTACACTTCACAGGTCCGACTAGTGGTGAAAAATCTTTTGGATTTCAGAAGATAAAGCAGACAAATTAAGAACTCAGGTGTGATCCTTCCATGGTTAGATTCTTTTTAGATTTAACACTTTGTTTGGCTGATCACTTTTCACACGTTGAGAAACCAAACCAGAATCATTCAGAAACCAGATAAAGCCATGTTTTTCTTCTCTGACAATGCATCAGTAACTTTACCAATGAGCCTTAAGATTTTTATATAACTCCAATATTGAGTTTTTGCTTAAAATTTAGAGATCTTTTTTTGATACAAATTACTTCCGTACAAAAGGTAAAATGAAGCTTGTAGACTATTTTATATGTACATATTTATTCCCACTGAGCATTTAAGAGGAATTTAAATTCCAGAATCTTGTGATAAATTTAGATTTGGCAAAACATGTTCAATCCCTTCAACAGACTAGGAATTGAATCATTGAGAAAGGGGTAGATGTACGATCTTCATATAAAGACATGCACTATGGCTACTTTTCATAAAGCCACGTTTTGGGTGAGTGGCACTTTCAGTACCCTTGACTTTGGCAACCACTAGTAAAAAAGATCTTGTCAATTTAACAAAAGCCTTTCCCAACTTTTTAAAACAGATTCAATTTATAGGAATATTTTTTGCAGTTATGTTTACAGTATTCCATCGGCAGGCCCATGGGAAAACTGCAGAAATTTGTAATATATCCTGGTAAATGTTACATTTTATAAGCCATATCTTAAGAGCCTGAGAACTTGGCAAACATTCACTTTCCTTTTTTCACTTAAGACAAAACTGTCTAATGTGTCATTGAAAACAGTTTCAGGGTCTTCAAGATGCATATGTTGACAAGAAACCTGAAACAAATGTCAGTTTACAGGTTAGAATATATGGATAATTTAAGTGCTTTTGTTGAATAAGAATTATCAGTAATTCACTCAATTATATTGGTCTGCTTTAAAAAGGGACTAAAAAGTAATTTTAAAGCCACTTTGTCAAAGTATTAGGTATTTAAAAAATTGAGTCAACTTCTAAGTAGAGTTTATGTGAAAAATGTATAGTGAGCTTAAGAGTTTAGTTGCCCCCTTCTAAACCCCACAAAATATAAACAAAAGTGAGCAGATAGTATTATATAATTTCCAAGTTCACAAAGGAAAACAATGGTGTTTAGATTACTTGTGAGACTCATTGGTACTGATTGGAAAGTATTCTGCTTTAAGGTGTTATTAAAATGTTTCAGAGAATAGCATGTGTCAAGTGATAAATCCAAGATGTGTGTTTGAAATGGTTCACAGTAAATTATTACTTTTGTCTCTGGGCACTTAATACCTGTACTCTACTACAGGCAAACTAGGGAAAACCTACTCTAAGTACGGTGAGTGTATATTTAAAAAAAAAAACCAAAACCTCATTTCCTTCCTGTTTCAAGTGACATACTGACAACTTTATTCAAGGAACCTTGGTACTTTGAATGCTTTTCAGTGTTGCCTGAAGACTTTTGTAATTGACTAGCATTGAGCACACAAAATTAATGTTTTAAATTCAGAGCATGAATATGGTTGTATAAAACAGCTTAATAAAAATGACTTGTTTTGCAAATGTATTTTGTGTACTGTAATAATAGAAACACTAAATGAGTATATCACAAGAACTTCTTTCACACATACCCACTGATCCCCCCCCATTGTTTAGGTCAGGCATTTTAACTCACAATAGTCAAACAATATCAAGTTTAAATGTATAATATAGCTTTGTGGAATGACTTCGATGGTCCCTGAAGTGTATTTAGTCAAAGTAAAGGTGGCTGTTATCACTGGCTGGTTACTTAAAATCACACAGATTACACCATCTAGAAATACTCAAATACAAGAGACTAGAAGAACATCACTGCTTTAATATTTTTATTGACAAGGTAAATAGGAACAAATACTTAAAAATCAAAGGCCAATTCTTAGATTTCATTTACTTATTCCATTCATTAAGTATGCCTTTCTCTTAATGTCTTTATCAAGAAACAAGTCAAACCTGTGAAAGTACCTGTGTTAAAATTCAACCTATATAACATTTTTACATCTTAAACATTCCAATGATAAATCAAGGAGCAAATTTTCTCATCAGTGTGTTTTACTTTAAAATTCATAGCTTGCTTACATAACAAATTAAGACCTTCGATATAAAAGACTGTGGTCCACATGTTGATCAACTACAATCCTGATTGGCCAGAATTAAAAACCCAATAGCCCTGATTCCATTCCACAAGTACATTCAATTTCCTTAATTTGAAAATAAGTTTATTATATATCACTTAAGAAACACTGTCAAGATACATATCCGTTGCAGCCTACAACATTATCTTTTGGCATCACACCTGGTACTTTCATCCTTTATGAAGATAGCCAGGGTTCCTGTAAATATCTGCAGTTTTTACAGGCAAAGCAGTTATAAAATCAGTTCCTACACTATTAAGCGTAGTGTGCTTATGCTCAACCCCACCCTCACCCACAGTTTTTGACATTTTGCTGTGTTGATGTTAGTCTGCGCTTATTATAAAATGTATCTACAGACAGTTTCGATTTTTGTAGAGTAAGCACAAACTACAGATTGAAGACACATTTCAAGGCAGAAAGGAGAATGATATGTGGCTCAGTGTTGTCTTCACTGAATTTCAACTTTTGCTGCTCTGTCACTGCAATCTGGCTGAACACTGACATTTCATAGTTTATAATTGTAAAGATACCTACCTACATGAGTTTAAAAATTGATCTGCACAAAGGAAATTAAAAAACTTTATATACAACAAATTTGTGTTTAAAAATACAAAAATAATATCTGTCACTTCTGTCATGCTGACAACTGGACATACGGACACATGCAGGAAAAGTCAGATGTCATCTGACCATAGTAGCATGTGTTTTTTTTTTTTTTTTTTAAAATGATGAACACACTGCCATTGAGCTTTTAGAGAATGATAGAGATGTGTGTATTCACAATACCTCATCTACTAAATACTGCAATACACTCTGCATGTATGTGCTGGCAACATTATAGCTTTTGTTCTACTTGATTAAAAGCATGTCCTAAAGCAAGCTAATATTAAGCACACTAAAAACCACAACACTTCAAGAATCTATGATCTTACATAAATCCAAAATGTACAAAATACAACTATAAAAGCAAAGAACAGTTACTGCCATGCAAGATTTTAAACTAAACACTGCATAGAAATGCCATTTAAAACGGAAAATTCAGAGTTACGTAACACTCCAGATCAAAGGTCAGCGGTAAGTTCTACCAACACGAGGATTCAGAAAAGGAAATACATTCTCTTTGCTGGTATAATCAGATCTTCAGATCCATGGGGTCAAATTACGTCTCTAACTTCTGTCTCAAGAAATCAGCTGTAATGAAAGAGAAAGGTGGTTTTTCTCATACCTGACATACAATAAATAAGTACACAGAAACCATAAAACCCTATTCCATTTTGTAAACGTGTATTTTACTAAGGAGGCTTCATAGTACAACAACCATTAAGCACGTAGCCACTAACTGAAGGTGATGACCTTGAAAGCAGTCAGCAGCCCCGTGAGAAAGGCCTGGTGATCGGCTCTTGTAGAGACCACAGCCTACTAAACCCCTATTGCTATGGGGCACTTTGACTTTGTCCCATGGGCCACTGTGAGTTCAGTTTCCCACTGTGGCCTGTGCATCCACACTAACTAGCTGCTGGGTTGCCCTTACCTTTCAGAACTAAGCTACCAATGATACTGAACCCACCCACATCTTACCTGAAGTTCAGGTTTTCTCAATAGCTGTTGAGACTACTTTTTAAACTTTAAAATAAGATCGAAAAGAACTATCTGTCCCCATCTAAAGGAATTTGAAGATCAAATGTGACAGCGACATAAACACTTTGAAAAATGTTAAGGTAGCAATCCAGTGCTTATCCTAGAGCACCACACCAGGACGTCTTGAAAAATATGCAATGTCTAATACAATTTTGTGTGTGTGTGGTGCTGTGAGTTTAATGCGCCAGACTGCAAAGCCATTTGAACTGCAAGGTTGGTGGTTTAAGCTCTCCAGATTTACAGGGTGTCGCTATGAGTCAGAAACAACTCAACGGCACTTAATAACAACAATGTCCAAAATGGAGTCCTGGTGTGGCGCTATAGGGTAAGCACTTGACTTCTAACTGCAAGGCTGGCAGTTAAACCCACCAGCCAATCTTCAGAAATGCTGTACAGGGTTGCTCTGAGTCAAAACTGACTCGTCAGTGCTTAGCAATATGTCCAAAAATCACCAAACTTGGATAAAATGGAAACACTTACCTCTTTCACAGTTGTTTTTATGAAATCCTTCCGTTCAGTTAAATCATAAGTAGGATAATTTTCATATACCTATAGTGAAAACAAAACAAACTCAAAAGTAGATTCTTTAAAACTCAGCAATATTCTTTCTCTTTGGATTAAATAAAAGTTTATGCTAAAAATCAGCACAACTAAAAATACTCGGCTGTACCATATAACACTATTTTAAATAAGTAGTTGTGGTACTGTAGAACAGAACATAAACTAGCAAGCAAACATTTCAGTGCTCTGCTAGTCTTGTTTTGAATGAATTCACAATAAAACATGGTGAGAAAAATAACCAGACAGGTCTTAGCTATGAGCTGAACTCAATTCTTTATATTGACAAGGTATCTTTCTTCTGCTAGATCAATCAACATTCTACTTGATTCCTTAATTTGAACTTTTAATGCATTTCAGCCTCCATTCCTCAAGCCCCTT